CGGAAATACGTCATTAATGACTGTGGCTTATAGGCAATTCAGAGAGCCCGAAGAAGTGGCGTTCTGCGTAGCTTTGTTTGAGGAAGTAACCAGACAAGCTACACGTGATGGCGTGAGTGATTCTGAAGTTCTTGTGTGATCAGAAACAATGAAAATATTTTCCAACCTGCTTGTTATGTCCAGCGTTTACAGATTCTCCTGCAAAGTGTTTTGGTTTTGGAGCAAAGTGACGAGCTGAAGGTAAAATAATTTAGATGATTGATGTTGACGTTATATAAAGTGAAGTTGAAATAAGTTAGAATCTAAAAATTGCATCTTTGTCCTCATATCTACTACAAGGCCAGGGGGGGAAAAATTAACTGCAGCAACTTGGGTCTTAGCTTACAGACCAGCCAAACAAATTTGTGTGAATAACAATTTCAACTGTGATCTGATTTTCTGTTGCACATGGTGTAAGTGGTTTTCCACACAACAGCAGGGGAACCCGTAAAGTTTGTTTTCTTGCTGTGAAATATCACTATTTCCTCTTATTCTCAGTCCTTTATATTCTCATACAAAAGTTTACAAACATAAATAGTGGAAAAGAACATTTTTTATTACTCATTCAAAGGTAAAGTAGAAACAAATGATTGCTGTCTCTCTTTGTGGATCCCCTTCTTAGTGCAAAGAAGGGACAGTGAATTCTGTCACATAAAAGCTACTTAATGCAGTAATTTGCAGGCTTGGATGCGGACAAAAACATGCTAATTCTAAATTGCAGCCTAAATTTTAAAATAGTTTCTAGCTATCTGATTTATTAGTTTTCTAAAAGCTGAAAATTCCATCTAGAACTGGTTGCCTTTAGGATTTATTTCAAAAAAATGAATGGGTAAGTGGAACACATTATTACACTGGGTAAAAAAATCATTTCAGCCATTTTATTTTTGAGCTGCACAAATGATGATTTGGCTCAATCTGATTTGGAAAGCAAACATATCAAATGAGCAGCGGGGATCACATCTCCGCATTAGAAATCAAACTGGATCGACTCAGACAATGCCTATTAAAAAGGCTGGAGGAGTCTCTTTGAAATGGGTCCTGACATCTCTTTTCCACAGCCTGTCAGGAGTATTTGAGCGCTAATTTGAAACCTACGAAATCTGCGTGTGTGCCGACAAGAAGAAGAAGAGGAGGAAGAGAGCGAGCTCCAGTGGGAGGTTAATAGAAGAGGTGACCAAAAGGAGATGCCTGAGGCTGTTATCTGTTCAGCCGATGAGAAGACAAGCAATCCACTGGCTGGATTGTAACGGCTGTCGGATCTATCGAGTCGCCGGCTAATGAGCTTGGCAAGTACATTGTATTTACATTTAAAGTGGCTGTTGTGGGACAGTCCTCCCCTTCAGGTTGATTGGAGAGTTTTTAGCTTTGATTCACAGCTGACCTTCAGGCTTCTTTTGGTTTCAGCCTGTCAGTCAAACCTGAACTGCTACTGCGACACATTTGCCTGTTGATTCCTGGCTTCATCTTTAGTAGTTTGACTCTCGATGTGTTGCGAACCCAGAGGGGTCCTCATTAGGGCCAAAATGATGTGTGACCTTTAAGCGGCTTGGCCTTCCTCCACCACCCAGCTGGGCCCAATTACCTCGCTCATTACCWCCCCGCTAAACAGGTACTGAAGCTATCTATGGTGTACCAATATGTCTGTGACTAAATACAACAAGCTCTAAAAGTGGCGAGAGATTTTCTTTTTTTTGTCCTTTCCCCCTTGACGCTCTGTACCTTAAATGTATATTTGACCTTCCCTTCTCCGTCGGTTTTCTTTAAGCTCCTTTTGGCCAGCCCTTMGAAACCCCTGGCTGTTGCCTTAAATAGGAGACATCCCCTTGGCTGCCATGCTGATGGGGTGATAGGATGATCAATGTTTGCTAGGTCCTTAATATACGGAAAGAGAAAAGGCTACAGAGGAAGAATGAGGGAGATGGATGATTATCCTAAAAGTAGCAAACTTAATTAGATGGAATCCTGCATACATCGTGGCCTGAGTGCAATCATTGGGATGGATTAAAATACTAATTAAACAGGCCCATTGCCGAATTTGGAGTATGAGGTGAGGTTCAGCTCTTCAGGGTCATTTGCATAGCCTTCATCTGGGGAGATGAGATTTAAAGGACCTGCTCTCTTCCTCCGATTTCCCTTTTCCACATTACTTGTCGCATTCACATGCTAACAAACCCATTTAAATGATGCTGTGTTTTCCTCTTTCCCCTCTATATTTTAATCTATTAAGGCCCCTTTGATTTTATTTTCTAATATAAATGTCTCCATCAAAGTAAGGAGGAGGCTGTTGAGCACCGAGAGGAGGAGGAAAAAGTCGGCGGAGCTGTGTGATCTTGAGTGATGGATATTTAATGTCGCCTCACTTTGGTTTGATTTGCATGAGAATATCCTCTGTGAACAAAGCGTTGGAAATAGCATGCCATATTTGATTAGATCACAAGATCTGAGGATCAAACTTGGGTGGTGTATTAATTACTGCAAGAACAAAAGCAGGAGCTCATCTTTTTATGTGCTGGGGATGTACAAGCACTTTGTCTGCTTTCTGGTAATCTTCAGCAAGTCTGGATACTCGTACATAATGATAGCTGCATTTTAATTGGTGTGTTTATTGTGGGGTGTTTTTTTTTATCCAGTGTGTCCACTCCACTGCCTTTCTTATTGTTTAAATAGCATGAATCCTTCAAACTGATCATTTCTTCACTTCCTCTCCCATGTCACTAAAAGGCTCTGGTAATCCTCTCGTCAGCTTTTGTYGATTGCCCAATTTTTCACCTATACTATTAAAAGGTCTTGCATGGAATAAATATTTTCTACATGATTTTAAGTAAAGTCAAAATACTTAACACTCTTTTTTTAACCATGAATGAATTTTGCACAAAGAAAATCCCACCTCAGTTGTCAGAAAAGTACACAGGAAATGTCAAGATGACAAAGTTAGTTCAATTTAAAACAAGGATTTTTTAAAGTTGGATTCTGGGGAAAAATCATGATGGATTTGTTGCTCTTTGATTACATTCAGTTTAAAGAAATACATTTTAAATATGTGGACTGCTTCCATCCTAAAACCAATCCAGGCTCAGAAATTTCATAGTCATTCATTTGAATACAATTTCAGAAACTTTTACACCAGACTCAAGTTTGCATTATGCAGTTATTCCAGCTGAAAATATTGGAAATTTTTGCTGGAAGTGCCGCAGGCTGCCASAAAAGTGCAACGGCTAGCTGCCACTGCTGTTTGCACTTGCAGAAAAAGCCATAAAATTGTATGTAAATAGCCATGGCTAGGATGCATAAGTTCAGTGTTATACTTGCTTAAATTTTGTATGTAATACTTCTCCATTAAAGGCTCATGTGTCTGCTGTAGCTGCAGCTTTCTGAAATCAATCTTCAAAGAAAGTTGATAATATGGATACATAAATAAAAAGAAATGCTAGGACTTCAACTGTAAAATGGCTAAGACATGTAACAATATTTTCACTTAAAGATGTCTGAACATTTACTCTGCTCTCTGTCATATCTTCATTTTATTGATGAAACAAAGCAGATTTTCCCTGATTTCTTCAAAGTTATAATTATCACAGTTATGTCACATTTGTCTGCACCATAAAATACAATGCATGTGAGAGTTGGAGACAACATGGATGATAAAAGTGCTGTATTACACTAACAGTGGCCCAAACGTAATCACAGACTACTTCGTAAACACAGTGGCATGCACCGTACTATTCTCATAAAATATTCTGACTGTATTCTTGTAATTWAAAAAAATCCCATAGTGTGATCCTAATACTCCATCGTAGGCTTGAGCTTGTGTTTAAAGTTGGATTTTTGGTGTAAGAGTAGTCAGTTGTCTAAATTAACAGCTAAAAAAAGCTTTTTCATCCAGTGTTTTAACAGAAGTCACAGCATCCAGCAAAACTCCTCCTACATTTTGCATCAATTCTGACTCCAGCATCAGCATGTTAAAGGTGTCAATGGGCCTCATGCAAGAACCGTTCGTACGCACAGATTTGTTCTTAAGTTGTGCGTACGAGTGATTTAGGAGAATTTGTGGCATTCACCAATGTTTTCGTATTCTAAGATTTTCTGTGTGCGACTGCTCTTCTGAATAAATGAAAACTATGCAACACATTTGTTTACACTTAAATTAAAAAATATTTGACCAAAGAAAAACCGGGCCAGGACTACAGAGAGAGATAAATATGATTTAGATTTTTATTTCTGTGACAGGAGACACGACATTAACAGCAGTCGTCATTTCATTCCTCGGCTTTAAAGCAGCTCCTTTAATTCCACAGCTGACGCTGCTAAAAATGACGGATTTTTTTTTTCTTCTGGATCTCTGAGAGCAGAACTTCAATCTCCGAACTAGTTCTTCTATTTTGGTTTGTGATGTCATTTACAAATGGACACTTCCTGGTATATCGGGCAGGAAACGTAGCCTTATATGGTGTTTTTGGGGTGGTAGATTATGCTAATCACCTCTCCTCGTGCACGAGCAGCTGATACACATTCATCAGTTTATGCTCCTCATTTACACACTTTTCCTGAAGATAGAAGAGTTTGTTGAATCTGACGTGGCATGTCTGTATGAACCCTTCGTACGAACAAAGGTACAAAAAATTTAGGATAAGAATACAAACATGTTCTTGCATGAGGCCCATTGTTTGGCTGCTGGAACAAGAGAAAAATAAACTTGACGACTCTCACAGAGCTGCTGGTGTGGCTGCAGCACACCTGGAGATTTTATTYGCTCTTGGTGAAAGTTTGATGTGTTTTTGTGTAGGCTGTGGGCATTTTCTRTGACCAGTTTGACATCTGACTCAGACTGAAACATCCATTGCACGATTCTCAGTTTCTGTGGCCACTTGCTCTGCCTCGGGAACTGAAAAAAAAATCTGCTACTTTGTCATCCATTGCTCATTGCCACCTCAAACCTCCTCTGCTTTTGTCTCCCCATGCAGTCCAGCAGAAGCAGCAGCTGGAGACGGAGACAGGCCTGAAGATAGTGGAGGCTGGAGTGAGTGATGTAAGTAAAACTCAGGAAGCATTCTTCATAGAAAATTTTAAAAAAAGTGATTTCAGCTCGTTTTGACATTTGCATCACACCTGTAATCAAACACAAACCACACTAAATTATTAACAAATATCCCATTAGGTGTGCCACTGTGACTGCCGCCATCCCAATTCATTTCTTTTAGGTCTGTAATTAAAAAACAATATAAAATGTGATGCACTTTGTAAAACTCAAAGCAGTCCCTCTGATCATCAATAACCGGGTTATTTTAAGAGCTGCACTTGTTGAGAGTCCTAATGCTTTGGTTACTATATAAATTAAAAACACAAGAGTCTCCAGATGATCCAGATGAAAGGAGAATAAACGTGTATTTATTCATCAATAATAAATATTCATATCTATCAAAGG